GTTTTGTAATAAACTGCCATAATGCGAATGTATGCCGTATATTCAGGTGTAGGTGTAAAACAATAAGGAAGGTTGGGTAACAGCGACCATCTCCATGTAACCTCCTGCGATATTCGTTAGGCCAGCCCATGTTAGGCCGTCGGGGAAAGTCCAAGTAGTGCGCGAAAGTAAGCCTGCAACCGCTGATATAACCTGAAGGCGTTTGAGTCCACTTTTAAAGGTATTATTTCTAAGTAACGGATTTTTTGGGTGCCATGTCCCGATTGTTACCTTAAAAGGTTTTTAATTGTGAAATTTTTAAGACCGTGCGATCTCCACACATACAGCATCGTAACTGTACGTTTACCAATGCCTATCACGAAATCTGCAACACAGTTCATATCCATTGCGAGATTTAATGAACCCTTTATGGTATCTTCTTAAAGGCATGTAAAAATATGATTTCCCTTACGCGGAAACTATGCACCTTGTGGGCTGCAAGCGTTTCACGCAAATGCAACGTCTGATCTGGCTCAAAATAATTCGGGAATTGGGAAACTTTTTAAAAGCCTAAATAGACAGTTTCTTCGAGTACAAAATGTAAAGAAACGTAAGTTTCTGCCAAATGAGCATGATTTCTATGAAATATATTTGAATTTATAGGACCGTCGAAAATAAATGTAAAAATTCATGCTGCATAAGTAGTCATTTTATGCCGAGTGTGGTTTCAGCAGGGGATGGAAAAGAAATGCATTCAAAACTGACATCCGTACTATAGTATTATACGGCATGATGATCAATATTATAAACCCACCTAAATAATCCTTCCTTGTCGAAAACCCATTTCAGAATTTCGGCCAACATTTTAGGAGATCGGTCACTCACTGTACAACAGTAGTTGAGGACACATACGCGCTTACCATAGCTCGCTCAACAAACGCCGCGTCTTAATGTTGGGTCCTTTTTCTCAGCCCAATAAGCAGCATTCGAGCCACTCCAACCGAATTCCTAACATACTAACAATGATAGGTCAATGAGGTGATTTCGTGGTCAAGATTAATGAAAAAAGTGCTATCCATGTTTGCCAGACTCAGTATGAACACATATATGGTGTCCCTCTACTAAAGATTTTTTTGCCTAACAGACCATACATGCACTAGTTTTAATCATTCGCACAGCTTACTTCATTTTCCCAGTGTGTCACACTTCGCCCTCTGGTGTCCTTCATTTAACTGCACTATTGCTGCGCTGTTTAACTCATTTGTGTGCTCTCTCCACCCCAACTTGGGTACTAATTCTCATTTATAAATACCTATCCTGTTATACTGCGCGGTGCAGCATACGCTGCATATCATGCATTCCTAATCGTCAACTTTATTCTTACTCCTCATGCTGCCGTTAGATGGACGACTCAGTCTGCCGGAACCTCCACAATTAATGGTTATTATTCAGGTTCGCTTCACGCTTCACCTCGCTCGTCATAATTACAGGGCACGGACAATGGTAGTGATGGTGGTTCGGCCGCTCAGAAAAGCCTCGTCTGCCCACCAACCCCCTAAATTCTGATTGTCTCTATTTCACTTCCCTGCGCCCACCGCAACCTAAAATTCCTTCGTCATCGGCCGCGTCCGGTCGGTTTCAACTCAGGAATCCTTGGTCGGGGACCGGTTTCCTGGGTAGATTGTAGGAGCGGAGGCTTTTCTAGCGAGACCACTTCTTCATTGTGAAGCTGAGAGCATAAACGGGGCGAAATCCGGCAGATTCCCTTGTATGCTGCATAGTCTACCCATACGGTGTCGAAATTATTGCAGTGTAAGCAACGGTTATCAAGTCCACGAGATGACATTGCAGGTTTGTCTGTAAAAAACCTCCCGTCATATGCAGGCTTTTTTTCCGCGAACAGAAGTGGATGAGGTCAATCAGCAGTTTTAACCTGTTGTCATCATCAGTGTTTCCATCTGCAATTTTTTGAAACCTCCCTAGGATTATACTTTGTCCGTTTCCTTGCTTTTATGGCGAAACGCACATGAAAGTTGTCCTGGATGAAATCAAATTGGTTTTACCTTCCCGAACTGGGCAATGTGGTACAGACTTAGAGTCACATGCCTTTGCAAATACCGTTGTCACATAATGCAGATAAAGAGCCATTTGCGTTTGGACCAACCGTTGCCTGACACTTTCATATTTTCTCATTTTCACAAACCGATTGAATGTGGTACTAAGGGGGCCACAGATTACAGAAGCCGTAGGTGCAATAAAACATCGCCAAAATCTTCATAATTGTCACCCCACGCAATAGCTGAGGACAAGGAATATTTGGAAGATTGTCTTTTAGAGGAAACACTGGTCAAGGGGTGACACTTGGGACAAACAGGACGGCGTTTGGGAAACAAGTGTTTCAGATGGTATTTTTATATCTGCAATCAAATTAGAACTAGGGGACTGGTCAAGCCCTTTTAAAATAGTTTAGTTCCTACTATTTGCCTGAAAGATTGCAATTTTATTGGCCATTCGGTTAGTTTAAATTATAGCAACCACATCTTTCCTTAAGTAATAGACATTTTCGCAGTTTTACAAAAGTAATCAGTAAATTTAGGATGGACGACGTGATAGATCGGGGCAACTGTTTCTGACGTGAGCGCCATCACAGACTACATGTACCACCACCTCAGATCAGGAGTTCCCGAGATTTGAATACTGGTTGAGATGGACATTGATCCCAAAGAAGGAAAAGTGAGGACACAGATCGTATGACCCATGAGCTTTATGCTCACAGTTTGTATGAGTCCTAGTGGTACTGGTGGAAAAGTAACAATACCTCCTGCTTAGTAGGTGATGAAATAAGTCGTGAGACAGTACTAAGTACTCATCTAGAGTTTGAACGCTGAAGTTAAAGGTAGCTAAGTACAAGCAAACCAAAGGACCAGTGAAGAGGGCGCTTTGACCTCAAACATGAGTTAAAAATGAAACTGATCATCCAAGAGGGCCTTGTTGAAGGGATGTTGCCGAAGAAACGGCATAGAACGAGTCGCAGGCCTGTCCCGGAGCCTGCGAACATATTGTAACATCACTGGAGAAGGAGTTTCATGAGCTCCAGACAACACCTGTTAGGTCAACCTTGCCTGGCTACTATGGTCTGGCTCATTCAGGAGGCGCATTTGCCTATATGGTCATATTCGCAGGTGCGAAGACAGGCAGTAAGGCATAATCTTGTGATAACGTCCGCGTCTGTTCATGAGGGTGCCTGCGTGTGACACACATTGGACGGAGGTTTCACGCCATGTCAGCCATTGCGTACAATTTCAACTCTAGTCGGTTAGACTCGAACCCGCCAGTGAAGTATGGGAGAGTAGGAGATTGATGTCGTCGCAGTTCGGGTTCAACGCCAAGTTTATCCACTACAAACAACTAAACACACTCCTATTTCCTCACTACACGCCTACAGTCGAGACTCTGTAGGCTGCTAACTGGCGTGATAATTCGGCTCTACTTGGGGCTGAGAGTCAGACTGCAGCGGTTACCTCTAAGTGACCCACATGACACTCTGGCTTAAATGACACCCCAAACCCACTCACCAAGGATTACTTCGTGTAGATTTAGGAACCAACGGGTGTGTGACTTCAGCATCACCAGCTACTACACTTACCGTCACACTTTACCTTTCAAACTCAATCTCTTCATTGGGACACAGTGAGCATTGGGAGGGAGGAGCGAGGTAGAGGTTTCTGAAGTCTGTTTTATCCAAAACAAATTCCCCTGCAAGCCACCAATGTGCGTTCCCGTCGAGACGGTAGCGGTCCTTGTCACTTGCGACGAATTTAGTGCTTTAGGTGGTCAGACGAAACAAATTTAGCACATATAACCTTTTGCGTAAGAACCCCTCTCTAAACAGACCGTCGAACCGAGCGCTATCGGGGTCCATAAACTAGCTCGCTAACCGAGTAGAGAACTGCCAAAATATACGTCGTCCAGTGATATGTAAAATGCGTAAATAATTTGGGCGATACCAATGTGTGACCAGCTTGCCATGTGTGCAAGGACAATTCACACCACTTCGAGATATCTCGGGTCGGATGGCCGAATTTTCCCTACCATACTTTTTTCGTGCTGATTGTTTCTTTTCCTGACCGCCTAACTCGCTGTTTCAGTTCAGAAAAAGTCGTGCAAACAGCTAATTCCAACCTCTTGTAGGATGTAAATACAATTTTTTCTTCAAACTATCCTTTGTCTTTCTTGCAACGTTCAATATGACGGGTTTCAGCCTTAACCGCGCTTAATGAAAATCATCTCGAGCAGTTTTTTGTTGCATGAAATTAGTCTAAAGACGTAGGAGACTATACTGACCTTAAGTGACTTGTCTATAGTCGTTTGCCACATAAAGTCGAAGTCCAACCGGAAGGTCCGGAGGTAAGCGAACGTATTCAAAACATGCATACTGGTAGAACCATTTTGGAGTTTCGATAGCACAAGAAGTATGGCATCACGGTCAGGTTAGAGAATTATAAGCAGAATCAAACGGACGTCCTTATAGAGTCGACCGCAACTTGCTTATTCATATTTCGAACATTTTTAAAGTTGTTATTGAGGAATTATCATCCGTAGGGGTCCTTTTCTAGAAGGGTCAGCTGTTATCAATAAATTATTACGCCCTATGGAATTTTTCACTCTGAGGGAACCATTTTGTTGGCTGTAGGAAGTAGTGGAATTTATTGGGGTTGCTCATTTTGACAGGACATTTCCCGATCCAAAATGACTCGAAAACATTCACATTAGATGCAGACGAACTGTGTTTCACCCAGAAGTCTTCCCTCTGAACAGTGTCCCTGTGTTCCTGCAAAGACGAGTACTGGTATTAGACGCGAGCCACGTGAATAACAAATGGTGGTAAATCGATGGTGCACGTGAATCTATTGATCCTGCTTGTCCTTCAAAGGTAGCGTGAACTTGCAAGCTGAAATGGCTGTCATGACCACGTATTAAACTTTTAGGAAAATATCCAACAAGAGGCTGATTAGGTACTAATGCGCCGGCCCACAAGTGATGTAAGGCAGAGGGAGACTCGTCGGCTCTTCGGTTCGGATTCAAGTGTCGGTCGCCGGCGAAATTCCAGTGTACCCTTCAGCAATGTGAGACATGACAAGTCTCGTTACTCACAGGACAGTGAGACGGACTTCCTCTGTGATAGGGCAGTGGAATTTATGGACTCTGGGGACATTTATAGCATCGTAGCTGTCGAGCTGGCCGAACACAGCGCCTATTTTGAACGCCTTTTGCGTTACCACAGGGGACGTGGATGTATTCGTTTACCAGAATTTCTGAATGCGGGGTTTTCCGCACTCATTGAGTATATAAGGCGTGGCTCAACAACGGTTGATCAGGGAAATGTATATGAAATATTCATAGCTGCGGACTATCTCCTTGTGCCGAAACTCAAGGAGCAATGTTCCGCGTACATTAAAGAACTTTCAAACGATCCTTCCACTGCCATCAACTTATGGGTTGCGGGGCGTCCGCTGCACTGGCCAGAGATTGGGGAAATGGCCTTTCAAAAGATCTTAGAAAATTTTGAGAATGCTTACTTGTCACCCGAGTTTGAGCAACTGGACAGTAAAGATGTCGAAACGATCCTTATGGACGACTCCCTAAACTGCAAAAGTGAGATGACAGTCTTCGATGCCGTTATGAGGTGGTTAGCACACGACCCCGAAAACAGGGCATCTGACGCCCTAAGTCTACTTTGGAACGTTCGACTGGGGATGATTCGCACAGCGGAAGTTGAGAAAATGAAGCAGAATGAACAGCTGAAACTTGTTCCGGAGTATATGAATATTCTAGCAGAGTGGCCCTGGAGCATATACGATCTCATGTCAAAATTGACCGACGTCCAGAAACTTAAACTTGCAAAGCCACGATTTCCGCACCAGGTAATTTTCGGACTATTATCTCATTAAGATAAATTACCAACTGCAATCCCCTTATCAAATTCTGTCCCCGAGGAATTTTTACATATTGAAAGAAAATGTTGGAAGTCTAGTGTTACGAGGTACACACATGAAGACTTCTCTCTATTCCACATGCTAAAAGAATTACTTAAGGTACGCCTGGAAGCGCTCATAAAATGCTCCTAATTTAGTTCATCTCAAATAAAACAGTCCATCGCGTTTTAATCTTGTACCTCCAGCATAAGTTTTCCTGAGTTCAAAGGAACTAGAAGCCAGTTGATATTTTAAACTGTGGTCTCTTATCAAGTTGCTTTAGACCACAGGCTAATACTTTCCTCGTAGATCACTGTCCTCGCCATCAAAACAAAGTAACAAGGCCACCATAGTCTTCAGAGTTTGGGTAACAGAAGCCGCTGCTGACTGGCATGTTTAAGGCCTCACAGAGGTATCTGCGAGTTTATTGTTACAGACGCCACACAGATGGCAGTTCGTCAACGCCACTGACAACACGTCGTCAACATGAGACTCATGGGCTTAAAATGTACATGTACTTACGTTAACTGATTTAAGTGTCAGCACTTTATTTTTTTAAACTAGGAACTCATTGGCTTCACTTCATGGCCAGTTATCCGTCAGCAAAATAGCAAATAAATAATCTCTAATTGGTATCACACCGAGGGTAGCCCCCCCTCCAAAGTAGGCAGTGAAAATGAAGCACGACTTAGGGTTTAGAGTATGCACTTCAATCGAGCAGGGCACTATGTTCACGACGAACGGATTGTAAGCAACATAGTCACACGAGTATGCAAACTCCAGTTTTACATCTCAACAGACGCCAGAGATGTCCACCTTTTCTGTTCGGTAGCCGTTAGACTAAGTGTTTTTGACTATAAGTGATAATTTGCAGAAATGACGGGCATATCAGTAGGCAGTAGGTCACTAAGCTAGACTCCGAATGTCAGTTTAATGCCAAGGAATTGCGAATCGATGGGCGACCATTTGTGTCTTTCAAACGTAATAGCGGGCCTTCAACTAATGGAAGTGTTGTTACCAATAGTGCCTTAACACCGCTCATGTTTCGGTCTATTAATCGATACCAAGATAGGAAGGTAGTAAATGAACCGAAGCAGTTTTGAAGGCGTTAGGCATTGACCTGCTCCAAAACACACCCCCTAAATCGAACAACAAAGAGGTGGATCAGTACACCAATCAACCTTTTGGCTGCAACGGGATTAATAGTTCCCATAAGCGGACCGACTGGCAGTATTCCTACACGAATGCTACAAGACGTCCCTGTAACAGTCGAACCTTGCGGTTTTTTCAGATGGCCAATCTAATCAATACAGTATTGTCGACATTACTAGGGAGAGATTACTGTCTACCCACTGTGGAGTAATGATTGTCGTTTGTTTTGGGTATAGCGTAATGAAGCCTTGGTTGACCTGTGTTCAACGGAGGGACTTGATAAAGGTCGCCTCCTTTTTACCCAGAGGGTAGAAATTATTCACTTTATAAAACAAATTCTTTATACTAACGACCGGTGTATAAAAGCTTATTACGCAACTTAAGCACCTACGTAACTCACTTTCTTGAGCCTCTTCTTCTGTAACCATAGTGATATCTTGGAATATTCCAAAAATGAAAGACACTGTGTCTCGTATATCCGTAGGTTCTCTGCGTTTTTGGTGGTTGGTGCGATGGCGAGGGACCGCGCGCAGCTGCACAGATCTTTAATCCACGTGCCAACACCTGGACACTGTGGACGGAGATGGGTTGCCAGACGCAGAGCCCGGTATACGAGTGGCTTGACCAGTTGTCCCTACCGGAGGCTAACAACAAAATGGACGTTACACCGGCAAACGCGGGCGCCGAAAGCCAAACCGGCAAGGGCCCCACAGTTTCAGATGCTCCCCAGCCAGAAGTGAAACCCTCGCCCACCTTGCCTGCCGGCCTCTACACCTGTCCACAGAGGCTGATCAGCGCAACGGAGACCAACTGTCTGATTGGCGAGATCCCCCGACGTGTGTACGCAGGCTGCGTGCTAGTAGGAAACCGTGTCTACTTGGTGGGTGGTTTCGATGGCACCAATGCGCTCAAATCCACCCTCTGTTATGATTTCGAGGTCGACTCTGGGTGGTAAGTCTATGTGAAAGGTAGCAGATTCGCTTTTTCACTTACTCCACATTCATGGAGGAGGGATTTGTTTCAACCAGCGGAAACGCTGCCAAATTGCAGAAGTTCAGATCGATCTGACGTCCGGTGACCTTTTTGTGCGGTTTTCGTGATTGTTGGAATCACCGCCAGTGTCAGAATACGACGAATATGCTAGCCGAATGAAGGATCTTAACACGCAACTTAGTACGTCTGAACAAACGCAACTACTATGTTAGTGAATGAGTTCTCGTACCAGCACCTGTGCTATGGTAAGCGTGCTTCCTTCGTCGTCGGCAACCTCCTGGAGCAAATGATCTTTCGATGTCGCTTCTGTTCATAACTCCTCCAGTAGATATTTAATCATGTCTATGACCCGGTACTGAGTTTAATCCGTGGATGTATTTTTGACTAGAAGGTCGAGCTGTTTCAAGTCTCATGCGGGCTTCCAACGTTAATGCTTGTTACGAGTGTGGTTATAGTGCGCAAGCATCTTAACCAAGTAAACAAAATATGTCCAATTTAAATTATAGTCCATTATTGAAAATGCGAAAATTAAGAATCTCCGATGTGGTTGAGCTCTGCAAAGTCATGAAAAGGGGGTATGTGTTTTATGACTGCTACCCAAGTCAGTGGAGACGTAAAACCTTATCTTTTGTCGTACACTATACGCTGCGAAACCCTCGAAAAATAAAACGAAGCCCCTGCACAGGTCTTCGTTGCTGGCACCTTCAAAGAGCGCTGTGTGCTTGTAGTCATATTGCTGCATGCATGAGCCCACGTCTATCCTGCAATCGGAACATATTCGGTGAACTCCACTTACATATGACTTTGAATAGTCCGATCCAAATCGATGGATCGCGGATCGATAGTTTGGTTGGGAGATCACTTGACAGCAGCATCTACCGCACCCTCCTGATCAGAATTTTGTACACCAACAAGAAGGGGAGGTGGCTCGGATTCCGCTAGGTGGGAATGCCTGGAACTGGGGTGTCATTGACTGACAACGGTTAATAAGTCTGAAATGGCCATTCCACTGTCTTACGACTCTTTCGGTTACATTTCTCGCCATAAAGTAATGCTCAATTTAAGTGGCAGTGCTGATAAGCATGGAATACAACATCATGGTAAATAGCATACGCTGTATTACTGGCTTCTGGCTGCCCATACTTTCCGCTAACTACGTAACTTAGACTCGAAACTAAGCAGAGTTGTTCTTCAGATCAAAATTGTGAGAACATTTCAGACAATAGCATGATTATTCGGATCGACTACTGAAGATATCACGAAATTCTGCGAGCAACAGGAAACACTTTCGCAGAGGAGGACAGGAGTATATGCACTTGCTTTGGGGAAAAACGCAGAACATCAAATTTGGAAAACTTAAGGACAGGTTGTTTGAATCCAACCCAGTGGATCGTTGGAAAAGGCTCTTAACACCACGCTAAAGCCCATACCACGGCCAAAATCGAGAATATTTTGTCGCATGGGAATGACGTGATTGCAGGATAGAAGCGGACACTCGGGCGCTGCCATGGTGCCGAGGACTCACAGCCCACACAGGCGGTCACATAACGTCTCGCAGCCAACCGATTCGAGTTCAGGCCCCGATTGCACCAGCATCTGGGATTGAGTTACCACACACCGATGTCTAATAGGCCAGATAGTGTCACTCCACTTAGTAGTTAATAGAGTTTTAAAAGCTGAAATGTTTAACCCTCAACCAAAGGCTTTGGAGGTATATAAGTAGCAAAAGGTCCACGTGTCCTTTCCGGGAAATATGATTGGATCTATACGGGCGTCGAGAATCAACAAAAAGCATTCGTAGTATCTCAATAATTACATTTGTAGAAGTTCGTTTACGCAGGCGTTTTGGGGGGTATGTAGCGAATTTCCTCGCGACTATTTATCACGTTAATCAGTACTACAGCTTCACTGAATCTACAGTAAGTGGGCTATCTCATGAAATCTCAACAGAAATTCCGAGATGCGTTTTCGTTTCGAAAATTTAAATTAAGTAGGATTGTGAAACCAACCATTGGGCAGCATAATTCTATAATGATTCACCTACGCCAGGACGCCGGCTTTCGAACAAACGCCTTTTCGGCTGCATCCAAAAACCATACTCCGTAAAAAATGACTACTTAAGTAGCATGCACTTTTTCATTGAATTTGGATGCCCTTACAGGCCGTATAATTTCCGCGTACGGAAAACCATACATTTCTCTACTGTATTAAAAGGAGACCATATGGGGTTCATGAACTTAAGCTGTGGATTTGAACCACATTGTTGCCTATGCAAGCCACATTGGTAAATGCAGAGACATGCCGTTTTATGAAGGGCCATTTCACGGTATTAAAAAAATCTCACAATTAGAAACTCTTTTAAGGCCAAATTATACCCTTCCTTCGAGTATAAAAATAGAAGCAGAAGTAATTTTCTATAAAATAAGCAAAATGATGAATACTTTTCTGCATATTTCCATGAAATATAATTGAATGTTTAAAGGCATCGAAAATCAATGAAAAATGCATGCTACTTAAGTAGTCATTTTTTACGGAGTATGGTCTTTGGATGCAGCCGGAAAGACGTTTGTTCAAAAACCGGCGTCCTGGGGTAACTGGATTATTATAGAATTATACTGCACAGTGATTGGTTTCACAATCCTACTTAGTTTATATTTTCGAAACGAAAACGCATTTCGGAATTTCTGTTGAGATTTCATGAGTTGGCCCACCTACTGTATCTTTCCTTGTCGAAATAATTGTGGACTCACGTCAAGTGTCGCATAATTTTCAGTGAACACTGAAGGTCTAGCTTCAAGGTACCTACTAGTGTTTCCGAATGATTACTTCTTCGGTGATGGCGGTTGGCAGCGGGCCCGAACCATCTTCGATCGCTGATGCAGACTTTGGCGCAGTACATCGTGCTGTCCAGGCCTCGCGTTCAGACAATTTCATCGAGGATGAAGTGACCAGGAAGGATTGTGTGTGAAAGCTTCTCTCGCACGTGACAGCAGAATGCCTAAGTTCTGCTCGCCAGTATACTAACGTTATCTCTAGGAAAGGAGAAGACGAAATCCCAAAGTGTTCTAAAAGTGCATGACGTCTAGAAGGGTATGCGCGATTTAAATAATCACAAATGAGTTTTTTGACTCCGTTATCGGGTGGGAATAACAGTTCATAATAGCCATAATGCTCCTCTCTATTACTGGAGAGAACCGTTTGCTTTGGCACTAAATACGGCAACACTGTATTTACGGCTGCATTTTGCCCGAAAAAAGCAGCGTCTTCCCCATCCCCTTTCTTTTACCTATGTGTGTCCATGAAATCATAATATCCGACAACAGAGCCATCCTGGGTTTATCTTGGAAGTGACAGAACAACGTCTGTCTTATTGATAGTACCGGGTAGAGGAAGGCTTGATTTCCTCTTTTCTGAACAGTTGGTTTTAGATATTAGCATCGCGCAGACAAAAAATATCTCAATCGAGCAGGAATATCCTGAGTAACTCAAGAAAGTTCAAAACGAAAACGGTTTATTCGTGAAGTGGTAGAGATGGAGGGAGGGAGAACAAGAAGCGTCAGTGAGCGCACGTAAGTTCAACGGGTTGAGGGGGGGGGGAAGACACTCGGAGATTAAGACCGTGATTAAGGGGCGCAATATCACTGGTTCCCGCTTCGGGTCCGGACACAGTTCACCGTCCTCGTCTGAAAACGTCAAAGAAGGGAAAGCACGTTCAATTCTCGCCGCTAAGCCTCCAGTTTCTTTTTCACTAGCCCTTTTTGTTCCTCGAAAACAAACCTGTCTTTCTGGGTCTTACACAGGTATATCAAACGTAGTGGATGTGGCTATACTAGGATAAATGACGGTAGTGCACCACCATCATTGTCATCGTTGCATCGTTGGTTTCAGTAGCCTCATCATAATTCTCACACATTCGTGGACTGACCTCCGACCCATGAAAAAATGACTCGAAGTTGGTGGAGACAAAGGGTCAAATCCTTTCTGTAATGCAAGATATGTAGGCTAATCAGTAGCTCCTGAATACTTTTTCAATTGTGGACATTTTGTCGTTTTGAAAATGAATTTCCTCCAAAGTATTATCACGTTCTTTTTAGAGCGCACTATCATATACTGTCTGCACTAGTCACCGGTCCAAAAGTCTGAATTTCGGACGCCATCAGTGATAGCCCTTTAAATTGACTCACCCGATAATCCCCTCATGATCTCCTTATCGGACAGGCAGGCATACATAACCTTGGTTTTTAGTCATATGACTGGCGCAAACAAGGTCAATGTTAAGATCCATATTTCAGCTTACATAAATGCCACCAATGCCCTCTCCCATAGCACAACGATGTTCACTCCTGTTAGGAAAAAAGAGAAGAAATAATAGTTCTTATTTTAAAACAGGTATTCCAAAATTTCAAAAAAGTAACATTGTTCAGCCATCATGCTTAAAATACAATGGCAAAATGTCGAGAAAGTAAGTCGACATATGCTACGTGACTATTGTGGTGACAAGTCTAATTTTTTATTCATGTATTTTAGTTTTAACGCACGTCGTTAACCGTTCCTAGAAAAGCACCTGTGTCTGTTGATACGCTGACGTATGCTAAGAGCTAGAACGGAGATCATGCCGCATTGGGCAGGGTTGCATCGCAACAGTTACGTCATAGTAAAGAGGTTTGGCAACATCACCAAGAATTTGATTATTTAAGTGTCTGGTCGCTGTTAAATGCAACCATAACATCATGTAATAAAAAGACCTTTCACAGTAAAACGGAGTACGTGAGAGATGCATATTAAAATAAAGCCAGTATTTTTAAAATAAAGTATGAACAATAACGGCGAAATATTAGTAAACAGGACTGTGAATACAGCTTTCTCTAAACCGTTGTAGATAGGGCGTAGAAGTGCGGTATGAACGCAGACTTTGAATGTGGTAAAACAATTTACGATTTTTTGGAAAGAGTTCAACATGATAGGAAAGGGATAAATGAAAAAATTCAGGCAACAGCATGGTAATAATAAGTTTAGACATCCTTGAGAATAGTATCCTAGGGGTACTCGGAGAGTTAGTGCTATTAAGACTCATTACACTGTTAACGACCTAGGAACTTTAAATGTCAACAAAGCTATAACCAACAAAACTGAGCTGTCCATTTTCACTAGGTATGAGATTAGCTGTATGTACGAGAAGCGTTACTACGTGAGCGTAGCCTATGCTTCTCGCTATATCTACGCCCTCGGAGGTCACAACGGTGAGAACCAAGGTCGACTGGATACTGCCGAGCGCTACAATCTGGACGAGAACCTCTGGCAACCCATCGCATCCATGAATCGTGTTCGCAGCGACGCAGCCGCTGCCGAACTGAAAAACCGGGTCTACGTGGCGGGCGGCTTTGAGGGTCGCAGGTACCACGATTCGGCCGAGTACTACGACACCGAGGCCAATCAATGGACCCTCATTAGTCGCATGCATTCTCCTCGAGGCGGCATCTCATTGGCTGCGCATGGCGGCTACATCTACGCCATCGGCGGTAATGACGGAAACAGCCGTTTGCGCAGCATTGAACGCTTTGACCCGGAGCAGGGAAAATGGGAGATTGTGGGTCAGATGAGCCGACGCAAAAGTAACCTCTCCTCTGCAGTGCTGGGAGACGATATTTACATAATTGGCGGATGGTCGGATGAACCGGAAGCGGGCATCCTCAGCCTCGTAGAGCGTTTCGACACAAAAACGCGCGAATGCTCCACGATCCGGATGCTGACCTTCCCGGCGAGTGCCACCTGCGCCTGTACCCTTGGAAACAGACAACTCACAACCAAATACGTGGAACCGGTCGCGGATCGCAACGACATCGCTCCAATGGCAGCCGAGGACTCGCTGCCCATCTTACGGTCAGGTTCTCCAGGTAAATATGCCCATCCGCAGTGTGTATGTAACAAAACACCGCCAAAGTTACCTCTCCACGGTCAAGATGGATATTTTTTAAGCATACTGGTATTCACCAAATGCCTGTGTTTCACTTCGTTCTGTTTGCAACCACTTGGATGCCTCCACAGCTTAAACTCTTACAGAGGCCACTGAAGTCTGCACAGATATGCCTTTTGTCTGAAAAGCACTTCCTAGTTGTCTGTGGTGATAAAGTTGCTACTGGTAGATCACAAAATGTTAAGGTTAATATTTCGTTGAAAACGAAGGAGGGAAATTAGAGTACCATCCGTACGAAAAGTTTAATGCGGCGTTTTTATGTAATAGTAGCCGTGTTCCCTAGCCTGAAAGGGCTTATCTCGTGAACTCGACTCGGAGTTTGCGCATTGTTTCCTTAAAATAGCTTAACAGGAGAACGTGGCAGAAACCACGTGCGGAACGACGGGAATTCACTTCTAGGCCGAACCCCTCTGATTAGTGTCATACAGTAAGACAATTATGTTCAAAAGGCATATTTTCCTTCCAAATGGACAGACTACCCACTGATGTGATAATATCTATATTAGATTAATTGCCACTGAACTTATGCGGCGCCCGCATATAGAGAGGTCGGAGTAAAAGTTCTTGATTACCACTTACATCATATAGTTTTCAGTCTCCGATAAACCACAGTGTAATTTCATAAAGGCAAGGAAAAGTTGGAATTGTTGGATTTGTGAAATATTTTAGGGACGCTGGTTAACAATGATCTTATGGGAGCAACTTCCTACGAAGCACAAACACACATAAACTTTAAAAGTCCATATTATCTTTTTTATTTCTTCTACAGTTTTTGAGTTTTGTGCACTGTAATAAACCACCGTCTGTGAGCTGACATAACGTAGCATACGGTCAAAGTGTTAACACAGAATCTCCTATAATGTCAACGAAAGTTCATAGTTTCTCGGGTTTGCAACAATTTAAATTTAGTGATTTTATAGAAGACAGACAGGGAAAAGGTCCCTTCCATCGTATCTGGATCAGGACCACACAGCTTGTCCACGTAATTAAAATTAAAAACTAATTACAACAGCTGTCTTTCTCCCCTCCATACACTTTCATATTATCCATAAAATCATACTACAGTTTTCTTCCTATAGATATGGGTAGAGGGGCATTTGGGTTTTAAGGATATGTATGTATTATCTACTCTAGGTAATTTTAACTACATTTTCCACCCGCACATCCTCTATAAATAGTAAGTACAGTTTTTATTTATTTTGAAAATTATTTTATGACTGTCTACATTTCCTGAGGAAGGACTTGCTTTTCAGGCCACGTTTTTATGCAATGCTACAGGATTTATGCAATTTGGAACCTTCCCGCAACTGACGTACTGCGAACAATCGACTAACACATATTTTCGTGCCCTTGAGGAATTCCATAAACTTTATTGTGCAAGACTGAGGGGCTAAAGTACGCACTCGCGATTATCTGTAAAGGGCACGTCGACGATCAGCGAATATTTTATAGCTCACTTCTTTTCAATGTCAAACTGATTAAAAAATTGAAGCTAGTATTTAGAGCAACAGTCCGAATGAGCATAAATAAACACGCAAGGCCAGACGAAACTATAAGACTTTATTGTCGGATTTCACCTTTTAAATATCATTCTACTAATTCCTTAGAGCGCTTTTGCAGCCGACCTTAGTTCACTCAACAATTCTTCTCTTCTGTCCCAGGTTTTGAGGTAGAAGCTTCAGCACTTTCAAACAGACGATAGGATAAAGGGGCCATTTAGGTATATTCAACACAAAAAATAGGCGAAAGTATTTTCGAGTGGTGCGAATGACGCATGAAGACACACGTTTAGCGCATTAGGGTAATTCGAAGTGGGATTTTGCAACCCTTATCTACGAATCAAAGAACCATATTTGGAAGTTATAAGATCCAGAACTTTTAGCTAGCTTTTATTGCCATTATTGGACAAGGGCCTTAGATTAACCAATTATCATTCTCTTTCGGGTTTGCTGAGTTATATCTTAGACAGTCACCAACAACCGAACCAGTTAATGTACCTTTCTTAACGTCCCAATAACTGATGTATGCTTACAGGCGCATCCCTGGGGCAGCTGAACTCTACGGCTCAGACAATGGGCACTTCGGCGAATAATGTTGACTACAACCTAAACGCAATCAATAGGGCGCCCTTGTATGTCGAGGCTTTTACTGATCGCTCATCAGACTACGTGTACACTTCCGAGATGGACTACACCAGTGAGCACTATTTTGGCAGTGAGTTAGAACGGGAAATTGATGAAGAAGACGAAGATGAAGAAGACGAGGAAGACGATGATGGGAGGAGGGAGGACGAAGAGCAACAGAAAAGTCGGAATGAGACAGAAGAATCCGATTTGTCTCAGACAACGGCCCAGCGCTCATCTGATATTCACTTGCAGTCCCCGTCCAGTACTCGGGCTGCAGTCAGTCAAAGAAGTAACCACAACTCTGTGAGTACTTCTTCGCTCGCTCGGGAGTGTTTTGTCCGTCTGTCAAATTCACTGAACCAGTCGAGTCAACGTCTGAATGTATGTCGCCGTAATCTGCGGTCGGGGAGGCGCAACAGACATTAAGTTTGCTCTTTTACTTCTGGACCATGTAGAAACGAGAGCATACTTCTGACTCCTGCAATTTCCTCCGCCCATTTCTGTATTGATTTTCGTCTGCCGGACCTCCTGGATTCCTCGTGCCGTGGCCATTTTTTTCACTCACCACCTTGTAGGCAGAACAACGATCACGTCAACAGTTACTTTTGTTATTATTTCTTCTTCCCGGTACTCTGATTTCTTTTTTATTCATTTAAACGGACATGGGTGTTTGCGTATGCCATGAGCTTCAAGGAACACACCCCACTTTCCACACAAACTGATCAATCAAGATCCCAGTCTGAGGGTTGTGGACGCAGTCTCTGTGTCTCGGTTCACACTCTTGCCATTCGCAGTAGCCCCAGCCCCCCCCCCCACCGCCGACTTCATCTTATGTTGAAGAAGCAGTACTTTTCATGTAAGCACCTACGTCGGTCCATAAAGCGGCGTCAAAGTGTTCCTATTCTTTTCATTTTATCTTGCTGAGAGTGGCAATTGCGTGCACGAATTGTTTCTTTCTTGCGTAATGTGCGCAAAATATACACCCATCACCAAGTATGCGTGTGCATGCGTTGCTAAGCTTACAAACAGGCTGTGGAGAACGAGGCGATTTCCTGTTTTTTACAAATATATGTACAGAGTTTGTCCATACATTATGCATCTTTATATGCGTTGGTAAACTATCTAAGAAATCAGGCAAATGAGGAGCCGGGGACAGCAGAAAGTTATTTTAGTTCATCATCAATGTCAATCAGAGTTGACGTACCTAAAAACACGAGGCGGAGAGAATCTGACATGGGGGACTTTTCCAACAGTTGTGTTGCTTAAAGTACTATCTACTATACTGAGTGCTATATTTTTTTGGAATGACACGAATACGGGCAATTCTCAGAAATTCAAACTGCAAGGAAAGAGAAAAGTCCTGGGAGGTCGCTACATCGTCCAATTTCCGAGCGGAGAGAACTTCTTATGCTAAAATTCACCGAAGCCTTCGCAGCTCTGGGATTTCCGCAGTTTTGTCACGTGTCTTGGAAAGTGGGAACTTGAGTACTGTCATAAACGACTACGAGGTGGAGGAAGTAAACCTTTTAAAGTCCTCCAGTATAAAGGGACGAGTGAATTCAGTAATGCAACGTTTGGTATGTAACCTTGATGGAAAATTCACTGAGACCTCTACCGAGGAACATTAAGTTAGCTACCTCAAAGGTTAGCACTTTGACGCTTTCCGTTGCCATAGTAAACGACGGAAGTATGCTTGAGTGCCCCTCACTGACCATGCACACGTTGAGGCTCTTAGGTTTCAAATAACTGTGTACTCCGATGAAAGTATTACAAAAAATTAACCAAATATATTCATCTTGTCAAATTAAATCCTTTTATAACATTATCTGAACGAGTCGCAAACCAATGTTTTGCGTTAAGAGAGCATCAAATTTCAGTTTTGAGCCTTCCACATAAACGACTAGATCACCTGTCAGATCTCATTGGGAGGAGAATGACGCGAACTAATATAAATCAGGAAGGCATTAGAAATAACTCATTTTGCCGAACGTAAACCTCACAGCAGTTCGGACTTGGTTATTTGCAGATACGTTACAGCCAGCTGACGGCCTGACAAAAGGGTGAAAAAACGTTGTTAGGAACATTGCAAATACATATTCAGATGCAAAATATCAATCCTTCCAAAGTCTTTGGTGCAGTGCAAAATGGCACCAACAGGCGAGACTGGGATGGACATTGAGAAAACGCAGTGACTCGGTGCATACACATGGCAGTTCGACCGTCGATTCCGACTATGTCCACCGGGTACTCCACAGCAAGGTGCAGCAGGCACGGGGAAATGCGCATGAATTAGTCTATAGTGGATGTCGACTTTCGCAGCAGCGACCGCACTCTCTCTTCTCCACTCTCCATCTGGATCCGCTGTCAAGACAGAGTAAAGAAGACCGGAGGTGGGGGGAAGGGCGCAGGTGGATGGCACGGTCGAGCCCGCATCTTGGAGCTCTATCCACACGCCTTGGTCCACACAGTTATTGATCAGGTTTTTGACCAACAGCAGCAACACTCCAGCAAGAGTCAGAATAACGAGGATGATGACTGGGCAGCCATGCCCACCACCTGTATACCCAGCGGGAGCGCAAGCGCATCTACCGGCAGGGAACCAGGTGGCAGGGAACTGACAGCGCATGCCAGGCTGGGAGGGCCGTGGTTTGCTGATACTGGCATAGTGCACGCTTTCAGGTCGTCGAACTAGAAGAGCGACACGTGGCCCTTCATTTAGCCTGGGCAGTCACCCTTAAATTTTGAGTAGCCAACCAGTGGTCGACTGAGAGGCGCTACCCATAAAGCACACACACGTACACATACACTCTCCTCACGCTTGAGAAGGGGCCGTGACAGCCTGGCTCTGAGCCTATCAGTCCGCCGCTCCACACAACACACACAGCTGGGCAACTGCGTGGACTGAGTTGAGGTGTCAGTCGGCTGCCTTCCGAGCCACGGGGCACCACGCACCGTCTTCGTCTCAGACTCCGATCAAACATGCAGCAGGAGGAGCCGAGACGTACACTTTCCACATGCGTGGGAGGTAGCAGTTGGGTGCTGGCATTGGGTGTAGGTTGGTGCTCCAGTGTCTGTGCGATGGATTCACAAGTGACCGACCAGGTCGATGCGTGAGGTGAATGTAGGGGCACAGTGTAGACATGAGAAGTCGGCGGTCTCAGTATCAGCTTCGGTGATAGTGATGGTAATGTTGGAGCTGGTGGCGGTGGGCGCGCTGGACGGCGGGGTGTGGGCGAGGCTAGGTTTAATGTGTGTGCTGGATGTGCTAGGCATGTCGGGGCTGCGGTCAATTCCGCTCTCGTGGGTGCTCACGTGGGCGAATAGGACCATGCGGTTCATGAACGTGCGTGGGCGGTCTGGACAGTGGAGGCGGATGCAGCGAGTGTAGGTTGATGCTCCAGGCACTGGTCCGCCAATCTCTGTGCAATGGATTCGTAAGTTACCGACCAGGCCGATGTGTGAGGTGGTGATGCGAACGCAATGAGGACAGGTATAGACCGAGTCCTCATCACCACTAGTGCTGACGGTGGTGGTGGTGGTTTCGGGGTTTGTCTGTCAGGATTGTGTGTAGTGTGGGTAGGCATGGCAGACGCCCCAGCGGCAGACGTGGGGCTGTGGAGGAGGGGGAGGAAGAGGAGGAGGATGTTAGTGGTGGTTGGGGGGGGGGCGATCAACGTTAGTTGACGGCGTGGAAGACGAAGGAGAGGTGAACGGAGAAACGATGGATGGTGTAGTCCGCGTGCTGCAGTTGGTCCGGAGGTGTTCAACAAGTCCAATTGGCGCCCAGAATATCCGTCGACATCGTGGACACGTTGGGAGCGACAGCGTCAGTTGAGATTCACGTGTTCCACGTTTGGCGTTGGCGGCGGTTATGCGACTGGCTTCGAAGATTGTTGTGGCCGTCTTCACTATTCTCCTCCACATAGGTCGGTTCTAGGCGAGGTCTTCCCAGTTTGCCGGGTTGATTTCCAGACACTTCAGAGAGGTTTTCGGAGTCTCCTTGTAGCGCCGCACTTGACCTTGTTGGCGTGACACCGTCGCAACATCTCCATTGAAAAGTCGTTTGGGTAGCCTCTCGTTGTTAATCCGTACGAGGTGGCCGCTCCAGCCCGTCCGTGTCTGCGATCCGGTCCAGACACCTCAGCTTCAGTATTCGACGAAGACAACTGAGGTGGAAGTGGTTGAGTCTACGTGCCTGCTTCATGTACACCGTCCAAGTCTCTGTTCCATATAGCAACGTGGGTAGGATGATAGCATTGTACATCTTCAGTTTCGTGCGAAGTTGAAGATCTTGACGACTCCAAACTGTGTTTTGAAGACGACCGAAGGCTTGACGGCTTTAGAAATGCGGCGTTCCACTTCATCGTCGATTTTGGTGCTGCGGGAAAGGATGCTGCCCAGATATGCGGAGTTTCCCACCACTTGCAGTTGGACGCCGACGTAGGCAGCGTCGGGTGGCGGTTGATGCTTGACCGCCGTCTTCTCCGCGTTGGTGATCAGACCGAAGCTCTCGTAGGCGAAGATCCATCAGGCAAGCGAATGTGGGAGTGGAGCCGAGTTACCTTGTACGGAAATATACACACGCATACTCTCACTGGCTTAGCCCGCCGGTCGAGGCGTTTACCGGGATGTGGCCGCTAGACAGAGCCTACTTTCGGGGAGCCACATGTGAGAGTCGGAGACCAGTGAACGGACGCTAGGCGTAGTCTACATCTGCAAGCAAGTGAGCAACCTACTGCGACTGTTACGCGAACACATCGCTGGACACCCCTACACCCTGAGTACACATACAACTGCACCCAGTGGAATCTTTGGAAAGGCGAAACGATTCGGGTCAACTTCAATACATCGGAAGGAGCCCAACTCTTAACCGATGGTATAGGTCTCAGTAGAAGAGCGCAAGGTTCGTTTTTCTGCCCGTAGTTTGTCGCACCGAGCGATCGGCAGAAGTATTGTCAGCCTAGACGTCCAGGATAAGGTTGCGACACAAGTTAATCGCCTTCGTGGCCTGCTGCCTTCAGCTTCCCGAGCGGCGAGAGACCGGGTGAATGAGAGGTGGAATCTCTGTAATGCAGGACTTGGCCTGCCGGTGATTATGAGATAGCAAAGTACGAATTACAGGTATCAACACATTACATCGTTTTAGAAATGGAGAGGGCAGGCGGAATGGTGCTTTTACCTCCTCTGGCACTCTTGAATGTCCAAAGTTAGTTCATCCCCACCACCACCATCACCATCATCATCAACAGCAACATAATCACCATTGTCATGGTCGTTATCGTCGTCGCCGGTCGAGGAGTGTCTCATACGAATTCATTAGGTTTCAGACGGAAATTGATAAATGGCATGCAAAAGAATGAGCTGCTAGAGGAGACGGAAATTAATTTTCCTGTTTGATAAACGCAGTTTTCCCCCTGATTCGCAAAACCCTACCTACTGCCATTTCTTCAGCTCTCAGCTCGCGAGAGTTTGGAACCAAAGATGCACACATTTGGTGCGCTTCAGATATTTAGAGTGTAAAGTCTAAGGAAACAGGCGGTGTAATGCCTAACTAGTCCCAACACATCAGGAAACGCCCCACTCGTAAGTGGTATCTGCGGCTGGGACATTCACACGCGCAGTTTTTGGGAATAAGCCACTTTACCAATAGAAGCGAAGAGACGAGTCTCATGAAACAGCTGTGAAGAAGGAGGCACGACCGCTGCAGTGAACTGGAAGACAAGATTGCCGAACTACAATAACTCCGACGGGTCTTCAAAACCAATGCCTATCCACGCAACTTCGTAAACCGGTGCATACGCATAAGGGACGAAAGGCCAAGACGAACAAACCCCAAATTTTGCTGAGCACTTCCGCATGTTAAGAACGTTTCGGAAGCAGTCGGCCGCCTTCTCGCACCACTTGGGGTTATAATTGCACAGCAGCCGGAGGCAACCATCAGATGTCAGGTAATGAAACCGAAAGATCCGCAGCCACGGCGAGAAACGTCTGGAGTCGTTTATCGGATCTGGTGCAGTTGCGGACAAAGCAACTACGTCGGAGAAACTGGAAGACAGCTCCAAACGCGAATGGCCGAACACGCTGCAGCAGTGCGAAGAAATGACGTCAGCTTCAAAGTTGCGGCTCATTCGACGAGGCCGAAATCCTCGCTAGAGGTGACAAACGCGTGAACAATGTGTTCGAAAAGGAATCCGAAACGTCAGGCAAAAACAGCCCTTGTCCCAGCGATTTTGTCTCCTTCTTCACATAGGCCACTTTCTTGCAGAACTGTCAAGCACAAATAATGCAATTTGATCACTACCTTGAGAGATCGTATTCAAGTTGTAAAGACCTTTTACTCCAGAACTATCGCTAATCCATCAGCAGTTTGATATTCCAGTGTAGGGATACATAATCTGAGTTTATTCTCACCTTTAATCGGTAAACGCCAGGTGAAATGCCCCACCGTTTTGACGTACTTAATAGACGGGTAAGGATAGGTTGTATAACCCTACTGGGTTCAGCATGTGTAGGTAACTACAAAATTTTATTTAGAAGGCCTTGTTTCGCTTATTAATCCATAGCTGCAGGAAGTTCCCTTTCCGTGTTATCTAACATTTCGGCACAACCGCATGCAGAAAGTTGTTTCAGTATGACATTTTGGTAATAAATTATTTGGTATGATGTTCTCGCTCCCACTCCCCGTTATCCCCTTGTCTTGCTCTGATTTCCTGATTACCCCAATGCACTTGCGTTATCTTTCATTGCCGATTCTATACACCGTGACTTAGTTATTTTCTTCTGAAAGAGTATTTAAACCTTTCTGCGTCCTTCTACTCTTTCTGTCAACAGTTTTTGCTAGCGAAAAAGGGTAACAACGTTCCCAAAAGTGCTCACTGACGGGGGAAAGGCAGAGTTCAATGGCGATTTGTGAATCTTACCACCTACTCCAGGTCCACAACGTCTGATGATAAAACCGAATTCGTGGACTGAAAGCGAACTTGGGTAAAACCCTATAAGCGTTAGTCGAAAAACTGGACTTTGCGCATACATATCCATCAACAACGATGATGAGATGATGTGGGGTGTGAAGGTCAGGATAACTGACTTTCATGAGGGACGTAAGTGACCAATGGCAAACCTGCAGTCATGGGTATTACGCCTGTCTGAATTATACCTGTCTCTCCCTGTTTAAGTCTCAAACCACCTAGACCCTCAAACTTGTTTACTACATTCGTCACATAAGCTCCTATCACACTCTTCACCCTCTAATCTGGAAATTTGTAGATGCTTGCATTCTCCCTCCCATTCTTTATTGTTCTCCGGCTATTTTTTCCTGCTCCACTTAAAAAGATATGCCAACTTTGAAACAAGTCCTCCTAATACCCTCTTCTGTTGCTGGTGCTTCTTGTGTTTTTTAGTCGATATTATAATACAACGACATTTCACAACGGCCAGTTAATTTACCGATCAAATTCTGAAGGATATTGTCCATCCCTTAATTCTGAACTATTTGCTGCGAAGTCCTCTCCCTTACGCGCCGTGGCTTCCGACATATCTTATGTTTAACATAGGTATTTCTGCCTTCTAAATTGCTATTTCTAACAAAACACCCTGCGTGTAAGGAAAACGAAATACGGAAAGTGAGACTTCAACTGTCTCCGTAATATATCTTCAGTTTTATGCAAGCCTTACTACTCTTGCAACATTTTTAAATATAAATCTTCGTCAAAATGAATAGAGCCATCTTTGCTGAGAATTTTGCTACTTTCGAAGTGAGGCGTAAATGTACATACATATAATGGTGGAGGGGCGCTCAGCGATCGTTCTTACGGAACTCACTCGTTCCGTTGTGCCTTACGGGCCCTCTCTCGAGCTCAACCAGCAGTAGCATAGCGGCGCATGATGTAGGCAGAATGTTATCACCGACAAAGCCAAGGGAGACTGGAGTGGCCATTTCTGGCTTATTAGCCGTCGTCAGCCGGTTCCACACCTAGGGGTTTGGTATGGCTGGCTGACGACGGCTAATAAGCCATAAATGGCCATTGCAGTCTCTCTTGTCGGCAATAACGTTCTACGTATATATGTATATATCTCAGTGGGATCCTAGGGTGAGGGTTTGCGTCATGTTTACATGCCCTCTCTATTAGCCTTCCATCTAATTTACCTCACGACCTTTCGGCAGCATGGTATATAGAGGCAAAACCCGTAAACCCAGTGTATTTGGCGCTCAGTGTAGAAGATGACCGATGACACAGCCGAAGTGCTAGAGTCGTACTGTTGTGAAGGCGGTTCTTTAGCTCGAAACGGTAAAGCTGTTTTGGCCAATCAATGTCTAAAATGACGTCATTATTCTACATGTCGGCGTGTGAACAGCGAGTCAAGACGAGTAGTGAACACTATTCGTAACTCAACAGGCAAGAGTGAGAAAATAGATTAAAGCTCGACGGAAGCTCCTCCCATCGGCTGGTAACTGACCGAGTAATAACTTACATTTTGCACTTCATTAAGGTTGTCTGAGCAATGCTCAACTTCCCACCCCTCATATGACTAATTGTTTTGCGCCCCCAACGTCCCAACACTGCATGGGCGGGTGAACGTCGATGCATGTAGTGATCAACTCCGGGCTGGAACACCATGATTCAAGCAGCTTGGTAGCCATGGTGGTTTCAATACTGAATTCGGAACACTAGCCCACTAAAACCACAGTTCTAGTAAGTAAATTAACTTCTCAGGATTTAACGCAGATTTGCTATCTGTCAGTAAACTCTCTGGCCATTTTTTGCTCCACTCATAATCCTTGATTTAACATAGTTGAGTGGATTAGAAAGGGATGAGTATGTCGGAGAAAATCATAAATATGTGAAGCTGAAACGGTTAACAGATTCCAGCCATTGTTGTACAATGAAGTAAATCGTTTGATGAGATTCGATGCCTTACCTAACGAAGCCGTCTGGATCCTGGGTTTGGTGCCGAATTCGAAGAGTATGCTCCCACTCTAGACATCGTTTTTCGGCTCATCCTTAGCGTAAATGTATTCCGTAATTTGCTTAGCAGGGGAAATTTGATAAACGTTTGACCATTTTTGAGCTAGCAAACACGTCTGGATGAGGTCTTTGTTGAAATAAAGCTTGGAGTCTATTCGCTGATTCTACTACAGGAAAGATAAAGTTGGCTTTTCTGATAAATTAAGTTAACTTCTAGCCCTGGTATTTAGTTCGCATACTAGACAAGTCTAGTATTCTTCAAAAGTCAAACTATGAAATGCAAAGACGGTTGTTTCGCGAGGATTTAGAGAGCATTACGATGTTTTTGAGTCAAGATTTGCTTTACTAAGGCAAACTTAATTTTCTGTGACGGCAGCCTCTCGTGGGAACTTTATATTTGATCAGGTGTCCAAGGAGAGCCTCTCATTTCATAGTGAAGATGTAGAGACCTTGGGTGGTGTCTGAAGATACAAATGGTTATCAGTATGAGGGGACGCACTGCTCTAATGGGACCTCACTCAGCTTTTAAACGTCCTTTAAAGAAAGGTATCTAATGCGAAAGGCTCAAAGATGGCTTTTCCAGTCCTTCAGATGCTGGTCTCAAAGTAGACATACTTGGCCAGTCGAGCATAAGAAAAGGACTCACAGAGGAATTACGTGAACACATGTTAAGAGACGTATGACGTAATTGAATTTAGACTCCCAACTTTCTTGTTTATTTAAGAAAAAAGACATCTTAATCTTTAAAGCGCTCTATCCTACCTTCTTACTGCACGATTATTGTCTGCTCCTTGCTGTGCGGCGACCTGATAAGATCCTAGATCGGATCTCCAAAGCGGTGCGGAAACCATAATGTTCCATTCTGTTATCGGGATTTACGGACGACAACTACTTCCATGTTGCTAATATTCTCTACCCCAGTCGACAGGGCAGAACCCCTAACTCAGTGCTGGAACGTTCCATTTAATGTCAAATGATTAGCAAGTCCGGATTCAAGTCCCGGAGCAGCCTTGCCTGGATTTGGAGTATGCCAGGCAGCAGATGAGCTGAACATATGTTCATCCTGACCTCCTCGCCTTGCCAATAAATCTTCCTGTTGGCATACTGGTTTACAGAACACTCTCGCTCTCTGGTTCCTGACACTAGGAGACGTTCGATTGTAACCGTGTATTTCTGTAGACGTCGCCGACATTCGTCGAGTAGAACTCTCGTCATGTACTTTATACACCGCTTCACATCTCTTCTCCTAGGCATTATGACGTCAGTCCTTCTCGGATGCATTAGTTCGAAAGACGCACTTGTTCGAATGCGACTGCCTCGCGTGTGGAAAATGTCTCTCTGCTGCGAGCTGTTTGAAACGCGCTGTGTCCGACTTTTTCGGAAATGAAGGCGAATTTTGGAATTCCAGATGTATGTATGGATAAAGATGAGGAGAGCTGATAGAGCGTCGCAACCATTTGCGGTTAGTACTTAATTACTTCAAAGTATGAACTGTCCCATATTATCTACGTCCTAGGAAAACAAATTGCTTTTGAGCAGGATGAAGTGGTGAATATTCATGAGGAAAGAACAAGTGTAGCATTCCTTCCTAAATTTATTGCGAAATATCTTGCCACCACTCTGTACGGGAGCCATCCCTACTAACTGACTCACGGGTCCTTCTTATTCATTTCGCGTCAGATTTCGAAATTATTTGGGAATAGCGATATAGGACGTCTCCCTTTTGAAGTCTGCTCTTATGTTCGTTTTATACGATCAGTAAAAGATAAAAATGTTGAATGTGTGGGTTTTAATATGGACAGTGGAAGACTTGAAAGCCTGTCCGTCAACCGTGGCTTATGGTTGATAAGGCTGCAAACGCTAAATACGCCCACGCATGACCCGTGACCATGGCCGTTGAAAAAGCACAATAGTAAATAAGATTATCCAGCACAAGGCTTCCCAAAGCGATATCTCTGGATTGAAAGTCAGAGATAATTGAACAAACATTAAATCCAAAAGAGTTGTGGTCGTCACAACTGACACAACTAACAAGCAGCTATCTTCTTGACTCTCGACTACTGAATACAGTAACCTCGGTGTTCTAAGAAACGTGGGGACAATAACGAATCCTGAAACTTTCCAAGGACACTATTACTTGAAATTTCCAGAATGACTCGATGACGTGGACTTTGGACCTACGTGCATATCTAGCCTGTTTGGCAGACGTTTAGTCGTTGTTAAAATTAATTTACTACCTGATGAAGTAAACCTGAATTTATATATTCACACACCTAGTAAGTGTATCGGCTAGATCATGTGCCATTCAGAACTATTTTTCACTGGCCTGATTTCCGTGAATCCTGCAAACGAAAACATTTACCAATCAACTGGGGCCCGGATCTATTGACTAATGAATACCTCCGTGTTTTGAGATCGCACAGTAGCTGGTCAGCGTATAGGTGTACATGGTAAAAATGATGAGGGATGAAGACAAATTGATCAACTATTTTTGGAAACAGGAATAGGTGAGAATTGCACCACATTTCTGTTTATGTTCGTACACCGACCTCTTGTTAGGGAGATGATAAAGATATCTGTTATATCTCGTTCCCCAAAGAGATACATTGTTTGTCAGAGGACACACATGTTGACTATAGCACAAGGGGAGGAAGTTCGCAGCCAGTGGGATCTACCTTTAACAGGGGCACCTTCGCTGTCGATAGTGTTTCATAGCGTCCTGTCGAATCTTTGCTGAGGGTGCATTCGGGTTCTTCCTGCGGAGACAGGTGTAGGAGGCATTGATGAAACGAAGGTAGGGCGAACAGGCGGAATTTCTGCATCTTGATGGTTTCTTAGCTTGTTCTCGTTGTGACATTTTCCTGTACTTATCCTTCTCTGACTCCGACATGGACCTCCATCTAGCTGCAGCTTGTCGACTGAACTGCAAAAAAGATCCCCTCAATGACTTTTTTATAGATCTTAGGAAGATGGCATAGGGACCGGGCGCCCGCTTTTGCTTAATCCTCGCCCTTGTTGGCGCTTTCTTAGCCATGAGGCGTTTTCTCTGCGGCTGCTCGGTTCTAAGCCGACGACCGTGACCCCGTGCTGGCCTTGCAGATAATCGAAATGTCTTTGGTTTGAATACGGGCGCATGACCTTGAGAGATGGATAGGATGCATGATTCCAGAGGCTTCAACTGAAATCTACATGTTTGTCAAATTTATGCACTGGATGGTTAGAGCAGACTACATACAAAATTCTCCCTACTATGTCGGCACACAAAATGCATATTAAGTTGAACACCGAAGGGAATAGCGACTGCACTATTCTGAGTAAATTTGGATAGGGAGAAAAGTACTGAAAGGAAAGTACGAAAAATATCCAGTTTTGACGCATCTGGCAGTTGATAATATTCCTTATACAGCCTCTTCAAGGATGCTGAGATTTGTCCATGATGCTTTATGTAGTCCTCAGATGGAGGGATAAAGATTACGCTGCTGCATGTTGCACAAAACCCACTTTACTCGTAGCCATTTATATACATTGCATGTCGCAGGGTCACTTTCATCATCGGGCAAACGTCAAGGCAAAATCATAACCCGTCTAGTGACCAGGTTTTTATGCCAGTTAGTTGTCAATCAGTCGTCCTTGCGCGAGGCCATTAACGTCGAGAATCACACGCGGCTGAGGCTTTTGAGAGCGAGCACGAAACTCTGCTTTAGCTCTTTTGTCACAGCTTAGGTTTCCGAGGTTGGCCTGTGGTTCCCAATTCTCCCCATTTAAATCATCGCTTAGTTGCCTGACCATCTGCATGTTCTGCCTTGACATCCGAGTTTTATCATTATTTCCCAGAATTTGTCGCAGTTGACGGTGCCAACGGCCTTTGCGAGGTCGTCAAGGATGATGCAGAAGTTGGCCCTTAATTTTTTTCCACCTATACGGCGTCGCACGGTGAATACCTTATCGGTTGTTTGGCGCGGTAGACGCGCTGGACCAACACGGGGGCCATATCGGATTCTGGCAGGCCTTTCCGGAATGCGCACCATAAAAATGCCAACATTTCAGGGTGCGGTGGCAGAACGCGTTGCCGGCAGACGTCGCGCACACTGGGACCCCCGCCATCCCAACCACTGTTTTTGCTGTTGGTCAAAATCCTTGTCAGTTGCTATGTAAACCAGAGGTTTGGAGTGGAGCGCCAAGGTGCGGGCTCGACCACGCCATCCGTCTGCGCCCTCCCCCTGCCTCCGGTCTTCTTGATTCCGTCTTGACACTGGGTCCAGGTGGGAGAGGAGGGGAGAGTGCGGTAGATGCTGCGAAAGTCTACATTCACAATAAACGAATTCACGCGCGAGTCACCGTGCCTGCTGCACCTTGCTGTGGAGCACATGGAGGACATCGTCTGCAACGACGGTCGAACCGTCAGATGACAGAGATTTTTACAGACCAGCACAGAACTCATAAGCCAAGGCAGTTGCAGATAGGCCGAATAAATTATGTAAGAGAATTCCGGCGCAAAAAATGTAAGCGTGATGAATGATTGGTGTTAAATCAAACCGACACTGCTCTGGCCCGATCCCATGGTCCGTTAAAAATGTACAAACCAAATGTCCTACTGTAGCCAACCTTTGCCACAATTATCAGTCCGATCAGCGTCTCAATGCCTCGTAAATCTCTGAGGTAGAAGAATTAAATTGGGTGAAATCGTGGTTTCTTTCGACGTGACGTCACTATTCACATCATTCCCACCGAATGTGGCGCATGGGTCATTACGCAAAAGACTTGAAGAAGCATAGAAACTTAGACTCAACACAAAATAAAGCATCTCATGAGACCGCTTGAATTTTTCCAGAAAACTTACTTTATCCTTGCTGGAGTAGCCTGTGAGCAGCTCAAAGGAACGCCAATGAGCTCCCCCGCCTCCGTTTTATTGGTAGAAGTAGACCTACAGGAGATATAAAAGCCTGCCCTTATCCAACATGAGCCAGCCCTTTAGCACCGTTACGCCGGCGACATGTTTGTTATCGTCGGGAAGAACACACTGCAGAATTTCCCAAATCTATTCAACAAAATCTTCCCAAATAATAAAAGTGTTTCAGCAGTTGCTTTTTCTTGGTGTGCTCGTCAGGCGAAGTCCTAACGATTAAATTTAGGCCACTGACTACAGGAAGGCTTCGAACGCCACACAACTTCTCAGCTTTTAGTTCAGTCATCCGGTGACTCACAAGCGAGGGTGGTTTGAAACAATACTAGTACTACTTACATTGATTAGGTAGTCTGCGTTGTGCATTAGCACATTTTCAGTACAGGGGATCGGCCTGATTTATGGGCTGATGTAGGCGGTCGGATCTCCGACCAAAAGCTTGTCCGATGCTTGCAAAAAACGCGATCTAACAAACGTGTCCGTTAACCTTTGCGCCTAGATGTGCTGTCGACTAGAACGTCGCAAATGACTACATATCGCCCATCGGCTTCTCAAAATAAGTAAAAAATTTTGCTCACGTTCGTTTACCTCCAATGCTGAAGCCCGGTGCGCAGAAGGATACCCTGGCGTCTAGACTGCTTGTTGGATGAAACGCTATGTAACTCTGGCACCTACATTAAATCGTTACGGTTTCGCACTTTTTTAGTTGTGCTTCGTGGAGCTGGCACACCATCTGAGTGAATCGTTCGGGACAGCCGAAGTCCTGCATGATTTTGCACAGTACTTTGCGATTCACCGTATCGAAGGCTTTCGTCAAATACACGAAGGTAGAGTACAGGTGGATCCGCATCTCCTGACAATTCTCCTGCTTTTGACGGGCGACGAAGATCATGTCGGTGGTACCACAATAACGGCGGAAACCGCACTGGCTCTCCGGCAGGAGACCTTGATCCACATGGTTGCTCAGACGGCTGAGAAGGATGCTAACGAGGATTTTCCCGGCGGTGTTCGGCGGGGAAATGTCTCGGTGGTTGTCGCAGATTCGGCGGTTCCCTTTGCGTTTGTAGAGGTGGACGACTGTGGTGTACTTGGAGTTCTAGAGGACTTTTCCTTGACGCCACAGCTCCCAGAAGAGCGCCGTCAGGTGATCCATGAGTTGGAGGCCACCGTACTTGTAGATCTCAGCAGGAATCGCGTCCGATTCGCGCGTTCTCGCGCTAGAGAGCTGCCGCACGGCCCTGATGATTTCTTGGAGAGAGGACGGATGATCGAGATCGGCGTTGGTCTCCACTGGAGAAAAACGGGCCGTGGCGGCGTCGGAGATGGTGGAAGGGCGGTTGAGGACGCCTCTGAAGTGTTCGGCCTATCGCTGTAGAATTAGTGTCTTCTGAGTGAGTAGGGTATTTCCGTCGGCGCTGAGAAGAGGAGCAGTTGCTTTGGTTGGCGGACCATAGACAACTTTGACCGCGGCGAAGAAGTTCTTTTATTCGTTGCGGCCCGCGTACCCTTGGACCTCCTTGGCCCTGCGAGCCGTCCAGTTGTCCTGTAACTCGCGCAGTCGCTGTCGAGCAAGGCGGCGACTACGGTAGAAAACAGCTCTGTTGTCGTCGATGGTGCGATCTCCGTAGGCTTTGTGCAGGCGGTTCTTCTCGGTGAGCAGGTTGCTGATGGCGGCGTCGCTGTCATGAAACCAGTCCTGGTGTTGGCGACGTGCGCGACCGAGGACGGCCAGTGCCGTCGACTGGACTGTGTCCCGCAATCGACACCACCGGTTCTCCACGGAGGCGTTCTCGTTAGCGGCGGCGGCAGCAGACACTGGAAGATTGGCTAGCCGTTGAGCTAGTTCATTGATGAAGTGGAGATGATGTGCAGGCAAAGACAACAAAGTAATATTTAGCTTACTTGGGGGTCGCTTACCTTGAGGTCTCCTTCGGGTCTGTAGGCAAATCCGCATTTGGGAGATGACGAGATGATGGTCAGTCCACCTGTCGGCTCCCGGAATCGGCTTTGTAACCATCAACTCCCGCTGGTCTCGACTCCGAACGTGGACATAGGCCGGCAGGTGCCGCTGGCGCTACTGAAGATGCATCCAGGTGACCTTCCCTCGCTCCGGCAGTCAGAAGGCGTTCGTCAGGTTGAACCGGTGTTCTGCGGATAGTCTAAAGGAAAACGCAAATTGCAGGTTGCCAGAGTAAGCGGACTCACCCTGCCGGTCTAGCGTGTTTGGCGGCAGGGAGGAGAAGGGGGAAGAATGTGTTGTTTCTTGTTTGGTTGTTTCGACCGCGTGTTTTGCGTCTGCGAGCCACGGTCAGCCGGCGTAGGTCCCCAACATTTATTTTGGGCACCTTTTGTAGCCCTTTTCCCTCGTAGGGGTGAGCAGTGCTCTCCCTAAATAGGCCTACCCAGTTGTTCCAGACGGCTGCCGAACTCCACAATGGGCCGTGACTTTGTTTAGTGGGAGAACAACCTGAATTAGCCCGGGCCGCCTACGTGATTTCTCTCGCTCTCGCAGTAGGACTTTTTAGTGGGCGGGGGGAGGGAGGATGGGTGTAGGGTAGGGCGACGGGAAGCAGAGTTTCCCAACCCTCTCTAAGTTTACTGGTTGCTGAGATATAAACGGTGAGCAGGCAAATTCAGCGGAACGGTATGCAGCAGAACGGTATGCAACAGGACGGTATTTAGTTTATCGCACGTAGGCTAGGTCGCGGGTGGCTAACACGGCCTTCAGACCCTGTCCTTTATGGAAACAGAAGTTGAACGCCAGTTGGGCGAACTGTTTATTGTGTACAGAATAACTGCAAGAGAGTTAGCAGCCGGACGAGAGCACGTCTGGCGCTGGGAGAGCGGCGTGCCAAGTGTGCGAGGAAATGCGTCAAAGAGTCTTAAGCCAGAACACGCCTGACTCGGCCTTCAATCTGATAAGCCAGTTGGATAGCCGTATGGGCGAATGTCAGCCTGCCCTGGCGCGCACGTACAGACACTTACGAGAGGCCCAGCGTTGCGGCATGCGCTCGGAGTAGGGCCATTACAAGAGCATACCTGACTGCCTGCTAATTGGCTCAGTACAAGGCGGACATTCTTGTTCTTTTCAGGATTCGATACTAGGTCTAATTCAGTTAATTTGTCCGGTACGCGATACAATATCTCTCATCGTGGCCGCCAAAAGGAAACAAGAAAGGGTTTTGTGGTCTTTTTTTTCTCAAAACAATATCGGGGGGGGTCACCTCCCCTCCTACAAGAATACGGCCCGCGACGTGAGGATATGAGTCCTTCACGGTCGTCATCGTAATTTTCCCCCAAGAACAATTCGTGTTGGCGTGAAAGTAAAGTTCTACTCCCCATTCTGGTGCCTTCTATATTTTCCTCCAACATGGAATTTGTCCTGGCGCTTGTAGTGCTCTGAGCACACACTCAAATTGCTCAGACGCTGCAAATAACGCCATCACGACCTTCAGGTTCGATTTCGAATGGGAAGAGAAGATGGACGCCAGTTGAGAGGACTGTATATTCTGCACAGAACAACGCTACGTTCTGCGGGCTGCTGGACTGGACTCTTCTTTCTCGTTTTAAGAATGAAGCTGAAAATCAAACCGCTGAGTCAGTCTGCGACAAAGAAACCACCAACCGAGTTAGGGGCGGCTATACCTGGCACGCCGAAAGCAGATTGGGTTCTACCAACGGAGTCAGTACGAGCTGAAGAAAGTGCAGGTCTTAGACTTCACAGATATTGGGAAACAACAAATTTGATGGTTTTATTTGCCCCATTGTCATGCACGCCCTACAAAACGGCTGCTACGACTATCTCTAGAACACTCAGACGTGACTGGACGCAGTCAACGCCAGCCCCGCCTTCCCCAACGGCCATTGTGGCCTCAGAGAACAACTCAGGTTCCCGTATACAATAAACTCCCCATTCTGGTGCCTTCTATATTTTCCTCCAACATGGAATTTGTCCTGACGGTTGTAGTGCTCTGAGCACACACTCAAATTGCTCAGACGCTGCCAATGTCGCAGAGGCCCGGGCCGAGAGCGAGACCCTGGCCACCACGACCTTCAGGTTCGATTTCGGATGGAAAGAGAAGATGGACGCCAGTCGAGAGGATTGTATATTCTGCACAGAACAACCGGAGAAGGGATGGAAAGGAGTTGATAGCCAGAGGAGAGTGCCCGCGGCTCCAGGAAAGCGGAGCCCCAAGGGCATCAGGGAATGTGACAAAGCGTCTTAAGCCAGAGCACGTCTGACTCAGCCTCGAATCCGATTGGCCAGCTGGAGAGCCGAGTGGGCGAATGCCAGACAGCCTTGGTGCGCACGTGCAGACACTCGCGAGAGGACCAGCATTGCCGCAAACGCTCGGAGTAGGACCACTACAAGCTTACAACAAGGATAAGCACAAATGAGCATACAAGGGCAAGCAAACAAGGACAAGCAGAAGCAAAGACAGAGCAATATTCGGCTTACCTGGGGGAACTTACCTCGGCGTCTACAACGGTGTTGCAGACGGAGTTTCACCTTGGAGGTGGCGATGCTTTGATCTGTGGGGCTTTCGACCGTGGTGTAAGAGGGTGGAATAGAGTAGGGAGTCGCGAATGTGAGGGGCAGAGGAGAAGGACTGAGGATGGGTGCGAAAGCGTAGAAAGGGGCTAAGCGTCCATCCACGAAGTCAGGAGTTTGATGAGCGCTTGTGCCCTCCTGCGGGGTTGCAGACGGTGCCTCACCTCGGAGATTCTGAGGCGGTGATCCATCCGGCCAGCGATTGTGGGAGTGGAACCCAGTTACCTTGTACGGAAATGCACACACGGATACCCTCTCCTGGTTTAGCCGCAGGTCGAGGCAGTTATCGATGTGGGCCGCTTGGCAGAGCTTTACTCACACCTGCTACTCATGTATGCGTATGGAGGACGATTTGGCAGTTTGTGCATCATACACTGGACCGCAGAAAGAGCATTGAGCTAGTGGAGCAATCCCTTCGCTTATAAAAATAGCCGTCATCATCAGGGTGCACAAGCTGGATGCTTAATGTATCTGATACTTTCTCAAGTGTCTTCCAGCATGTTCAGACACATTCTGGCATAAGCATGAGTCCGTCACGTATTTGTCAAGGATGCTTGAATGGAACCCTCTACTTTGTTTTCTCCTAGGCCATGTTGTTTCAAGTATCAAAGTGTGGAATTTCTGTGGAATTCATTATGAGAACGCAATTTGAAGAGGTATGTAATCAAATCAGACGACTTAGAGTGTCAGGGTAATGGGTTTTCGCTAGACTAGGCAGACTACTGATAACTCTCCGTTGTAGTGTATACGATTATCAAAACTTTAAACCAATAATACATGCAGGAAAAACCCGGTTTTAAGTAGAGAATGTTGTGTTTAACTTGCAAATAATGTCGGAGGAAAAAAATGAGAAGGACAGTGAAGATGGATTGTTCTACAGACTCACGAAAAGTAAATTCCCCAATACGAGATTGGTATAGAAAATGAGGTCCCCCTTGGGTAATTCCTAAAAGTTCTGAGGTGGGCCCTGTGGATAGTGCTTGTCGCCCGGCTGAGTTCACGTCAGACAAAGTGGGACTGAGAAGCAATTTCCGAATGTTTATCGCATCTGACCACAACGGATTCAAGCACATAAAAGTGATTTATGAACCATCGATATCACACGACAGCGAAATCAGAACACGTGTTGTCGCAAGTCGAAATCAATTGTTGCGTGTATTTTTCCATATTCAAGCAAGAGTGTAGAAAAGTTCGTGTGCACAGCAAATCCAAAGGGAAAAATCGAAAATGCACATAGACCTACTTTGTCTACGAGAGACAGAAAATCAGATTTCATAATGCAGAATAACTTCCACACACGTTTCTTTGCAATAAAAATGAGTGCGCGAAGATCCGGTAGTCTTTGGCCGCACGAGACTATCCAAAATTAGATTATCTGTCAACTTATATTTTCGGAAGAAAGCGTTATTCCTAGAAACCCCAGGGCAATACTTTTGTGGACCAAACTCCATATATAATTTTAAGGTCAGCAAATGTGTCACATACCTGACAAAGTCGTAACTTCACCGGCACCATCCCGGTGAACTTATTTGACCTCAAATTATCTCCCTTAGTCATCATTTATTTAACTTCCTATATATTGCAGGGCTCTAAGAATACTGAGAAGTTGGCAGAAGCGAACGGGCAAATTCCAGGAAGTAGTTCATAAGAAGAAGAATAAGAAGAAGAAGATGATGATGATGATGATGATGATGACGATGATGATGTGGTCAGAGGAACAAGAAGTTTATCAGCCTGACGTTTCGGATTCTCACTCGAATTTATAATCAGAGACAGTCGTAGATAAGGGTAGGAAAGGTATAAGACTGTAGTATTTACAGCGCGTAGCTTCTGTGACACCACATGCGTGCCATAATTGACAGCTGCCGCGATCACCGCGGGGGTCGTAATTGAGGCGATGATGGCTCGTCAGTCCGCGTCCAAGTCATTAATTGCCGCAAGTTCATCATCCGTGTTGGATGTCGGCATGATGATTACTCGGCTATTTGGCTCGCTGTCACTGGGATTGTTGCTCGCCCGCGCACTCCCCACGTGACTGCTCGGGGAATGACTCAGCACCGAATATGGTAACAGGAGGTCATTGCGCTTGTTGATGGGTTGCGGTCCTATGAACCATGATTCGAGCAGCTCGGGGCTCACGAGGTTGCCATCTCTTGCAAGAATTTCGGTTTCTTGAAACATGGAAATATGGCCGAGTTTCGTGGAATGAGCCGTCACACGAGAGCTGGCGTCCTTCCTCCTCGCCACTGTTTCGTGCTCAGCCATCCGGGTCTGGAATAATCTTTCCGTTTTTCCGACGTAGTTGCTCTGTCCGCAACTGCCCCAGATCCGGTAAAAGACTCCAGGCGGTCCCTGCCGTGGCCGTGGGTCTTTTGGCCTCACAACTCGGCGCCTGGTGGTTGCTCCCGGCCCGTGTGCACTCTCAGCTACAAGTGGAGCGAGAGGGCAGCTGACAACTTCTGAGACGTTCTTCACGTGCGGAAGGGTTCGTCAAAGTTTAAGGCCGGTTGGATTTGGTCTCTGGTTTCGTTTGTGTACGCACTGATTGACAAAGTTGCGCGGGTGGCTGTCAGCACTCGTCGAAGATATTGTAATTCAACTATCTTATCTCCAGCAGTAACTTCAACAGTAACCACCCGATCAGTCAGAAACGCGGTTGCGTAAGGGCACTATGCCGGCGCATTGAGACGCATTGTAGTGAAACGGCAATCCAGTCGGCCCCAAATTTTAGCGAGCTTTTCCGTACGTGAAGAACGTCTCAGAAGTCGTTAATACCGAGAAGCGCTTCCAACAAAATTATTCGAGGCAAGCAAAATTTTGCTTGCTTTTTAGATTTCCACGCAGCACTGGTCTGGAGCCAGCCTGATTAGGAGTTGCACTTTTAGCATTTTTTGCGACAATTCGAAAAAAATACGAGGTAACCGACGATAAATCTCAGCTCTTATGTATAAAATCAAAGAATACCACTCATGCACCTTGAATGCGCATGGCAGTCAACAGTATCATCTGTAAAAATTATCGGGTCCTATAGTATAGGGTAATGTTGGTTTAAGGCGCAATAACTTTGAAGTTTGTATGGGTGACGGTTGTATAATCAGAGGGGAAATGATGTCCGTAACTGGAAATAAAATATAAAATTTTGGAAGCTAATAGTGGATTGATTGCAGAATGCACCTTAGAAACTGAAACTAAGCGAATGTATCATGAACAGATCGAAAATAATATCGAAAGGGAAATCGAAGAAGTGTTGGGGGATATGCATGTCTGCAAAACGCAAAATGGACCTTATAGAACGTAAATGAAAACGTTGGTTTGAGTCTAGTAATAAAAAAACCATTAGTCCGACGGACACCGACCCACGGGCTGCTGAAGATTGTGCCATTGTGTCATCATGTACTGTATTTTGGAGTAATACGCACTGCTGTTGAAAATCACTGTGAGCTCGTTATTTAAAATTGTTTAAGAAGAATTGTTTCGACATTTAAATTGGGTGAAAGACGAATATACAATTTGCTAGAGGGGTCGCTATGTCGATGACACCTTTGTTATTGTCAAAACAACTGACATTGAACACCTAAAGGGACCACTAAACTCGGTTGACCCGGATATCCAATTCACGATGGAAGCTGAAACAAACAACCAACTGCCCTTTCTTGGCGTGCTTGTGCGCCAGTGTACAACCGAACACCTGCAAACTACAGTATTCAGAAAAGCCACCGACACGAGGCAAATCCCCCACTTCAACAGCAATCATCCTCTGTCTCACAAGCATAACTGTGTCCGCACTCTATTCCAAAGAGTCGAAACACATTGCAGCACGCCGCAAGGTAAAAGGGCCGAACGACTGTAGCTTCAGAACCTCTTTGCAGCAAATGGTTATCCCAGAAATTTTATCAGGAGAAGCAGGCGTCGAGCGCACATAAGACGGCCAAATGAGCAGCAACCCGAAGTCTGGGGGTCATTCCCTACATTAAAGGGGTCTCCGAAGCGGTCTCTCGACTGTTAAAACCCACCCGAGTAGGCATAGCCCATCGAGCCCGGGCGATAATACGGCGCCGTCTGATGCAACCTAAGGACCTCAAGCGTTATCTACCAGATAAGTTCCAATGAGACCAACTGCAAATATGTGGGGAAACCGAGTGGAACTTGCAGACCCGCCTACAAGAGCGCAAACCGGCGACGCGGAAGCTAGATCAAAACTCTCAACTGGCAACGCATGTTGGAGAAACTGGGCATACTTTCGATCTCCAGGGAGTTACCATCTTAGGCCGGGCAACACAAAAACATAAAGGTTATCACTTGAGGCGTTTTACTCCAGCACCAACTCCATCAATAGGCATCTGAACCTGCCTGCAGTTTACAAAGTCCTGCGTTTTCACGTTCATAGAGCACAGGACGAAACAAACACATTACCTAGTCGAACCGACTTCAGATTACTTTCCATAATTTAGAACCATAGACAAACATGATCTTATAGCAGTCTACTACAAGAAGACTGGTATCAACATGAAAAAATAAAGAATAGGAGGCCGAGAACTCATCTCAGTGAAAACGCACCTGCCGCTGCTAGCAAGACGAAGTGTTCCAGTACGAAAAAAACCAGATTGTTTTAGTTTAATCCGGAATGCCCTTATTCAGTCTAGAAGCCTTCCGGGTGAGTATTTTGCACAAAAGTTGTTGATGCAGTGTACCATCAAAGATTTTCGGAAATTCATTTACACAGCATTTAAGTCGAAGCTATTTTACAAAGTTTCAGTCAAGATTTCCGTAGAGGCCAGAAAACTCAACAGACGGGTATGCTGTCACCAAGATCCGTGCTGGGATTCCTGTAGTTCGCTGTTTCCGTCATAGCCTATTTTATGAAAATTTCTATTACCCGTCAGTAAAAGAAGGTCAGTCTTACGGGTTCGAAGCCGCTGGTAACCACCCGACGGCTTTTTCTAGCACTGCAAGCCTGCTGACGGTTTTCTTCTCAAAATGGCGAGACACATCGTTTTTCGCAATAGTAGCTTAGCAAGAGGTATAAGGCGAGGCGCGAGTATGACTGATAATTTTTGAGAATTATTTTGTTTATCTCGCCCGGTCCAAAATATATGTATAGAACAGAGTAACCTCTGACCAGGCTTGCTTCGACAGAAGAGGCACCGGATTAAATGGAGGAAGGATCCTGTCCTTCTCAAGTTCTGGATTTTTCAGGGGTGTTTTGTTGTGAAAATTGACTGAAATAATTGGATTGAAGATTTTAACTCTTACATATCCGTCTGAGTTACTGGTGGGGAGAAACCAAATGAAGCAGGGGCCTGAGGTCAAGGATGAAAAATTTATTTGAACATCCTCATTAGCTATGTTTTTATAACAGTATCGACCGCATTTAAATACACTGCGTATGGCTAACTTGGAATTAAAACAAATTATCTGTGCACACGACGGTGAGATGTACGAATCAACAGAAGCAACCTGTCTTTCGGTCCATGGAACAATTAAAAATCTGAATAAAGTACATATTCTTCTCCTCGTTCATTTATTTATTTCGTATAGGATATCACAAAGCGCTAAAAATTTACTGCTAACGGCTTTTTTTCAGTCAGTGACGGAATTCGAGGGTTGCACTAAGGCATCAGGCAATCGATTAGGTTAGCATCACACTGGGGCCTGATTACGTTGACATATGTGTTGTTTACTGCCGGACGCAAAGTGAAGTGTTAAAAGTAGGCAGTTTGACGACTTTTTGTCCCCGTTTTGACATGAATATATACAACCTGGAGTGTTAAAATTCTACAAGGTCTGTATCCTTTCTGCAAGCGATTCGATTCCAGCTTCATCTTCCACTGAAGTGCACGTGTAGCATCACCAATCTGACAGTTAAATTGTCATTTAAACGAGGATCTGGACATTTTGCATCAGGCATGCGGCGTTTGACACTTTTGACCTTAGAGAGCAATAGGTTGGACCGACAGATTTCTAGTCGAATCGGTGAAAGTCCAACCAAAGCGAAACAGTTGGGATAAGGTAGCAACGTTCCCTGAACGTTAAAAAATATGCGGTAAGCTGACAGACAGTCTTACAGCGTTCAGAATGACTTTCTCCTTCCTTCGAAAAGCTAAGATGGAACTGCTCTCCAGCCCTTCCCCGTTACTTCCACTCCATAGCCGGGTTTACACAAATAACTGTTTAAGTTTTACTTGTCGTGTGTCCGAGCAATAATTCGCTCGAGGATAAAACCTTGCGATAGGGACTAACGCCAGCGTGGGTGGGACTTCAGTTTGTATTCTTTTGGTTGACACTGATTCTCCTCTGAAGACAAATTTGGTTGAGCCCTTGATTCTGAAATGTCAGGGAGAATCGGTGGGTACGTGCTGAGAAAAAAAGAAGACAGGCGAGCTTTAGCCGTCAAGTCCGAAAGTTCGCTTGGAACCTTCCTAATGGCTTACGTCCTGGGGAGACTGGGCCAGTTTGGCCATAATCCCTTTTTTAATTGAGTGGGTGAACCTACCATCCCGTCGTAACGAAATGCGTTCATGTTTAGTCAGTCACTTATCGACATTTTGATAACGCAATTAGTAGACCATCAGAGTGCGAAAAGAAGGCGACCTAGGTCTTCTCAGCTTCTATATTGAACTTATAACAACGTCTATGCGTTATTCTTAAGTGTCGATGTGATGCAGTTTAAACGGTTTGCTGCATCATTGGAAATACATGATCGAAGTGTTAGGACCTGGTAAATACAAAGCAGTTTTCTTATCTCGAATATTACTAATGACTACTTTTAATGTTCCACCCTTAATCGTACAGGAAACGCAATTTTGGCCGAATTTGCACAAAGGTTGACGCTTTTAGTGAAATGTTTATCACTGATGTTGGGAAATTCAAAGGAAGAATACGAATGACAAGCAGGAGGAGGCCGGTCGAAATTAAGTAAGGTCGGTTATGAGCCAGTAAAAGGAGGGAAAAAATATATCCTGTTTTATTAAGCCGGGGGCCGGTTGCCCTGCCGGTTGCGATTGGGAATATTAGCTATCACAGGAATGGCGTTCACCGATCACCAGTTACAGAGCGAACGCGCAACGCTTAAGGCGTCCGAAAATCCTTATGTCAGCTTCTGTCACCAAGTTTCATGAGTTAGATCAAGTACTGTGCATATATTTTTGAAGTGATATATCTAGATGAAGTCTTGCACGGGTACAAAAAACTCCGTGAAAAGAAGTAACACGGCCCTAGATAGACTTCCTCTTTATTGATACAACTTAAAATGCTACGTTACTCAATAGGTCTTAGCCTTTTCTGCATAAAAATGAAAACAAATTGCAGTCAGTAATGTGTTGTATACAGTTCCTATAAAAAAATCACCTGGCCTGGGGTCAAAAGACTTTTCAGGTCAGTTTTTGAGGTTTTCAACGTTCTCGAATGTCAAACCACCTATGCAATTTGAAAAGAACCGGAATTGGTAATAGCCTGATGAAACAGGGTAAGGTCGGTAGGCTGAATGCGGCAGAGCGCCTCAGCCGAGCTCCTAGGTAACCACTTTCACGAACTGAGCCACGCGATGTCAGGCGTTTTCATACTTTAGAATTCGTCGATAGCCACATAAATGTTCTGCATAGAGGTATTTGTCCACCACCTGCCAATGTTCGAGCACTCCTTAACGGATTACACCCTCCCGGATTCCAACGCACGCAAGTCGTGGTCTTTTGAGGATACAATTCCTGCTTCGGCCGACGTATTGCTTGTTTAGCATGACTCACCCCTCCCCCCTCTTTGCTTCACACTGACGAAGAGGCACAATTTCTCATTGACGGTGACGATGCGATAGAGAAACCTTTGGTTGCGTCCACGGGTGTCTTTAGGCCACGCAAGCAAATCGATGATAATAGTGAAGCGACGGTGCTTGCTGTTTTTCGACAACATATGCGGTATCCATGCTCGAAGCTCTTGAACTTTTCTTCTACTCTAACTGATTTAGAATAGTTACTGCAGACTTTCGGACCAATTTTTTTTAAAAATCCATTTAATCGGACCTCATAGATGACATTCGGCCCAAAGAGTGAGTGGTCGAGATTCCGGAGGCGCATTTTCGAATTTCCCAATCCAGTACTGAGTGGTTCTTTCAGGCATAACAAATGCTGCGGACACCTCTGGCAGCTTTGAAAGCTTAGTTGAAGGCTAAAAGAAACAAACCTCGAAGATGCTCGCTTTTCTTAACTCGGGAAAAGGTGACAGCGATCTTGTAAAGCAGGAAAAAATGTTCCTGACGAAAAAGTGGCACTTACCACAACAAAGCAAACTGAAAACTGACAGAAGAATGATCCGAATGCTCCTCCAAGATTGCCACGCGAGACTTCGCAAGTACCGTCAGAGGATTGTCCAAAAGAAGACCAGATTCGGTGAGCTCAGGGGCGGGATCGGTACAAATCTGCTCCTGCATAGGGTGGCTGAACGAGCCAGTGAACAGACAGCTATATGCGACGCAGCACTGGGGAACAACTTCCGAAAACTGCCCAATCCAACGTCGCCCAAAAATGACAAACTGGTGCAAAATCTGTCGTCAAGAGAGCTGACAAAGGATCAGATGCAGGTTTTACGGCACGAAGCTTCATTTAACACGACTGACGCCAAACCTGTTAAGATGATTGCAGCAGTGGAATCAATCCTTAGTCAGACCGAGGCAACGGAGGAGACTAAGAGCCTCATCCGACACCAAGTGTCGTCTCTCCTGATGGCCCACAGGCCGCGAGAAGTGTTTTCCAAGGTCGAAGGTGATGCGCTTAGAGAACTCAAGGCCGACAAAGACCTGGCCATCGTCCTGGTAGACAGGGGGCATTCCGCGGTTCTGTTGGACAGGACAGACTACCTTCATAAAGCCAGAGGTTTTCCCGAGGACCGACAGTTCTATGTCCCATGTGTATCAAACCCTGAAAATACGCTGATTGTGGTGGCTTTAAAACCAAAATGTTCAGGAAAGCGACAAGCACGACGCAAGTACTGAGCTATAACAGCACTCACCCAATCAGCCACAAACGCAGTTGTGTAAAGGCGCTCCATCGGCGTGTTGAAACGAACTGCAGTGAGCCGGAAGACAATATTGCCGAACTACAATACCTTCGATGGGTGTTCAAGGTCAATGGCTTCCCGAGCAACTTCGTCAACCGGTGCATACGCAAAGGAGACGAGAGGCCAAACCACACGGACCCCAAATTTTGGCGAGCGCTTCCGCGTGTCAAGAACGTTTCGGAAGCTGTCGGCCGCCTTCTCACACAGCTTGGGGTCGGACGTGCACACAGACCGGAGGTAACCATCAGGCGTCGGATAATGAAACCGAAAAACCCAATGCCGGGGTGAGAAATGACTGGAGTCCTTTGTTGGATTTGGTGCAATTGTAGACAAAGCAACTATGTCGGGGAAGCAGGAAGACTGCTCTGAGCCCGAATCGCCGAACGCGCGGCAGCAATGTGGAGAAATGACCCCAACTCGCATGTTACAACTCATTCGACGAAGCAGAAATTCTCGCTGGAGGCGACAAACGCGTGTGCTGTGAACTGCTCGAGTCAAGGTTTCCCGGTTCTCAATCAATCAACAGGTGCAACGACCTCCCCTCTCTATATTCGGCGTTGAGACTTCGCCTAGGCGGAGAGCGCACAGACGAATACAGTTCCCAACGCCAGGGTCGGTAGGTCAGATGGTCGAGTAACCATCACACCAACATCCAGCATCCGTGACGAGATTGCAACGATTAGCGACGCGAATATCGGCAATCAAACCGTCATCACACCAAAGTGCAACAATCCACGATGAAAGGGGAAGCTGAGAATTGTCATAGGTATGTGGTAGCATGGCGACCCCATCCTATTAATACTGCAGCCCCTTGTGCATGAACCAACCGTATCTGATATTGCCTCTGATGATGGGCTCGAGCAGGAATCCGAAACATCAGGCGATTTCTGGAGACTCTCGAACCATTAACAAAGCGTGCTCACGTAAAACGCTTTCACCGGACGCGGGTGTTTTGCATAGGATAATGTCTTATGATACATGAAAATCGAAAGATATTTGAAAGAATAACCATGCAAGCTTCAGAGGGCTCCTTAGCGCAGAATTTGTAAAAGTCAAACTCTCTTGCGGTTTCTGGCTTTGCTTTTCGCTCATACGTGGCTTATTCTGCAAACTGGCCACCAGCTATGAAGCCTTATTAAGCATACCAGGAAAGGAATGATAGCAAACGTATTAAGTCTAGTTGGATACCCTCTAACTCGTAACGATGTTTTTGTTGCTAACTCCCATGCCGCTATCTGCACCGTCAGCTGTTTGCTATACTTTCATCCAAATTCATCCGACGCTCTAAAGAATATAATCGTGCTGTGAATAAAAAATGGAATGGGACGTCGGGGACAACAAGAATTTACGCTTAGTTTAGGCTGACGCTGTTGTTTTTGACCTTACAGCTATGATAATGGAGTTGAAAAGTCTAGATCTTTCTACTACCCGTATCGTAAATCGATTGGTACGAAGAGGTTCATGCCAAAGAATCGACCGGAAACTTATTTCAAAGCGATCGAGGAAGGAAGGAGGTGGTTTCGATCCCTGGCTCCTGCGTCTGGCTTTGAGGCCATAACGTTTCCGTGGAGAGTGCGACAATGTAGCAGTTATCAAAGTATCTTTTGCCTAGAATGCACTATATTTGACATCATTAAACTTATCGGCGTTGAAGTGAAAAAAGCATTAGCGATCAGGCCATGCCCAAAATTGCGCATCACATATTCAGTTGGAATTCCCCTACACCAATAGAAGGTTGGCTGTATCTTCAAAAAGGAGGGCTACAAAGCCATGTTCGTCGATGGAAGGAGGATTACGTGCAATGTGAGATTGCACAGTTCAGATAGGCCTTCTCCAAGACCAAATTAAAGCCTAATGATGGAAGCGATGCCAGAAACTTTTTATTAGAAAGTCACCTCACACGGCATGCGGGATGATGCTTAGGCAGAACCAAAGACATATTCTTTCAATTGAACCTGCCTCAGAAACGTCATTTGATTTGGGCATTCTGGTTGTGAGTTTACGTGCTCGAGGTCGAAGTTTCTTTCAGACATGGCGTGTCATCCCTTCCCTGCCATCGTCTGTCATTTTTGCCACCTTCCTCTACTCCGTCACGCTTGAGCATGGAGCCCGTCACCCGGCTCCAGGGCCAGCCTACCGCCTTCTTTTGGCGTCAGAATTGGCACGCGCCAGCGTGGCTATGAGCAGATGTAACTCCTTGGCTTCACAAAGAGACGAACGCGCCGGTGTACCGGCATGCACGCAGTCAACTGGGCTAAGAGTACGTGTCGACATATGTAAGTGTCTCAAAGCAAAAAGCTGTAATCTCTGCGACTGAAAGGCAGTAAAAACTGTTGGTATACGAGCACGGGTGTGCCTGTGCGTTTGAAAACATTAATATATGCCAATGAAGCCTAGCCAACTTATAGCTAATAGATAAGAACACTACTCAGGGGCGTTGCAATAGTGCGATTGCAGTATCATTTGAAAGGTGCCCGCATGTATATTCTCTGTGTCTCCGTTTAGACGGCCACTGAGTGTCCTTGGCCGCCCCAGTTTTCCTCACTTGTTAGGTCCTCATCATCCTGACATCAAGTTTGGGTCATCACAGCAGGTTATAATCCTTAGTAAAAAAAATAACTACAGGACCAGGTAATCAGGTGGGTCCGATAAAAACTAGTTTTGCTTCACTTGCTAGCCAAATAAGATGTAACGAGCACGAACGGGCATAAAGGTATTTATCCAACCTAGAAATAAATAAAACACAATTCAGCTCTGTGAGACTACCCACGGAACTTCCTCACACTCTTGGCGTTGCGTTAAAAATCCAAAAAACGTCAAAAAACTAACATGCAGAACTCTTAGACCTGTCATTTACCAGGTAAACTGGAGAAGTGTCGGAATAACGCTCAGTGGGACTGTAGAGAATAGTCGACTCGGACTGGCTACGGTCCCTAAAAGAAGTGAAAGTGGAAAAAACCCCGACTTTTAGAGAAGACTAGTAGTCAGAAATCATTTGACGCGAGCAAGGAGCGAAGATTACACGTTCTTCAATCAATTGGGTCTCCAAGCAGTCATCTTTTAAAGATAAACGCGATGAAAGAAGCGGGAGCATTTGTTGCATACTCTTTAACAAATGATCCAAAGTAGATAGAAAAATTATGTGACATAGATAAACAGGCAATCTAGCCAAAACATGAAGAGCGTCAGCCATTTGTGTCGTAGATGTTCAAAACAGGCAGACAGTGGGGCGGAAAGGGGAAGTATCAGGACTAGAAGTCGGAAACATGTCACCTTTATGCAATAAAAGTTCACGATCCTGAAGACAGACGGTTTCCAAAGAATTTAGACCGATCGGGTAGCGGGTATGCTTGGAAAATCCAGAAGCGACCAGAATTTTGACAGCCTTTCAAAATTGTCATGTGCCAGAAATAAATATGAGCTGGTTTATCCTCTATTTTACCTATGTTGTTACACGGGAAATAACGTTCGAACTATGTGTACCCTTCCCTGGCCGTGACATTCCGGCGAGGTATTTTAGAAATTGGTTGTAACATCTATGCTTCGGGCTTTATATTTTTTGTGCCTCTGAGGATCACAGCATGAAGTGGTTGTGCTTTCAGCACTGCCGATAGCTGTCGTATTTTTGGAGGCAGCTAAAAAACTCTTATGCGGCACGAACAAATTATAAAGGAGAGACTCAGGATGAAAATCTGGAAGACATTGTGGTAGGTGAAAGCAAAGAGAGAAATCCCATAGTTCATATTGTTTTGTGGCGCAGACAACTTTCGTTCGCTGCATTTCTGGCTGATGGAAACTTCTGGCATCATACCGCAGCACTTTTTGCTATTTAAGGTATATCTCTAGAAGTAGTAAAAACTCCTAACCAGTCATTCCTTATTTCATTAAATATGGTTAAAACGGCTGATCAACTAGAGCAGGAGAGCGATGGCACAGCGGTTTCTGTTTTGAGTGTTCGGACAGGAGGTTTTCCACGAGTCGAAACACTTTTATCCGCGAGAATCCATTAGGATCAGTTCCACATTGGCGACATTCTTGTCCACCAGCACCGTCTGGTGCTATTTGTCATCAAGTTTCCGACGAAGGCTGACTGTACAGATTCCTCTATAAGTTCATATTACCTAAATGAGGTGCTTTTGGTTAATTTCGATTTCCGGCAACCCCTGATGTTCGCTGTCTGCTCTGCGAAGTCGAACTTCGAGATAGGACCTGGCTGTCTAGGCTGCAGTCTAAAGCAAGTAGTTAAACAGCCTGAGTCACTTGGCTGAAAGCATTTTTGCGTCAAATGAACGGAAGCATTTGGCACGATCACACCCAACAACGTGTTAAGATCATTTTGTGTGCGTTTGGTGGTTTATGACCGGTCATTATCGA